AGAAGACGCGGTCTAATGAGGATAATCTCCTGCCAAAGGTTGCGCCCGAGGACTACGCGTTCAGGCGACCTATATTCGTGCCCGCCCAAAGCAAGATCCCCAGTGTTGGGGTTAGGTGGACGGTGCGGACGGAGCTTCAAGAAACGGAGGTGAAAAAATACACCCCTCGAAAACCAATGTGGAGCTGGTTGGTGATGCAAGAAGAAACTCGTGGAGAAACGCAACAGAGACACGATGTACCCGGAAACTTCAATCAGCCATCCCAGTCTTCGGCTGATCACCTCGGCTCTTATCTGAAAACACGAGTTGCCAGGGATCTTCACCCCGTGTCTACAGCCCTTGATCGGTTGGGAATCACTGCTTCCAAGGTGAAGTGGACCGTCCCAAACACTGGTCCTGTGGATGTCCAGCAGACGGTCATGGAAAGACTGGAACTGATCAAACGGCCAGGCTCTCTATTGTACCAGTAACACAACCTGTCTGTGTGTTAAGTAAATGTTCCGAGCACGTCACAAACATGGCCACATCCCGGACCTCATTGAGAACTTTGAGAACAATGGTTAGTTGTCAACTTTCAAAGATTAATCCAATGTATATCTTTCTATCCCTTATTGTAAGCTTTACCTGTGTTAATGATTGTTTCAATGGCTGCGTGTTTATTGTGTAGCTGTTGCCATGTGCTGTGTAGCTGTTGCCATGTGCTGTGCAGCTGTTGACATGTACTGTGTAGCTGTTGCCATGTGATGTGTAGCTGTTGCCATGTGCTGTGCATTTGTGACATATTTTGGTACGAGAGATGACGTTGTTGCTTGTTATGGTAGTTAGTGTGTTGCAGAGAAATTGTAGAAGGAAGAAGGCATGCTATTGTCGAATAATAAAGAATCATATGTTAAAAAGATTTAGTTTGGTTTTATTTTCCAACTACGCCTAGACTTAACGAAGTGACTGAATGACATGGCCAACTAGCAGTTGTAACTCCTTGTGTAACGATTAGTTTCATTAGTTGTGGTGGATCCAGCTTTTAAAATTATCGTGAACATGAAATACACGGCAAACACTAATTTAATAGACCGGGACTATAAAAAGTTGTTTGATTATGGGTTTGTCTTAGATGGTTTGAGCAGAACACACTAGCAGTAATATATGGCTCCTGTAGGTACATCATTAGTACACAGCTATTATGCTTAAATAGCCACGATGCACCAACTGTATAATAACTAAACGACCCCTAAAAACGAAGTTTAAAAAAATAAAACCTCCTTTATATGCATTTTGTATGGATTAATGCAATTGTACGTGATTTATCATTTGTCAAGAGGCAGTTATGTAAATGGGTAAACACCTGTCGAAAACTCGCTTCACATTTTCTTCATTTCCCCTTTAAAAATACATTTTTATTTTTTTACTGCATAGCCAAATACGTCGCAAATCCAAAACTACACATTCCAACAGTTCTACACACTTAATCTCCAAACCAAGACACACATTCCAACAGTTCTACACACTTAATCTCCAAACCAAGACACACATTCCAACAGTTGTACATACTTAATCTCCAAACCAAGACACACATTCCAACAGTTCTACATACTTAATCTCCAAACCAAGACACACATTCCAACAGTTGTACATACTTAATCTCCAAACCAAGACACACATTCCAACAGTTCTACACTTAATATCCAAACCAAGACACACATTCCAACAGTTCTACACACTTAATCTCCAAACCAAGACACTCATTCCAACAGTTCTACACACTTAATCTCCAAACCAAGACACACATTCCAACAGTTGTACATACTTAATCTCCAAACCAAGACACACATTCCAACAGTTCTACATACTTAATCTCCAAACCAAGACACACATTCCAACAGTTGTACATACTTAATCTCCAAACCAAGACACACATTCCAACAGTTCTACACTTAATCTCCAAACCAAGACACACATTCCAACAGTTCTACACACTTAATCTCCAAACCAAGACACACATTCCAACAGTTCTACACACTTAATCTCCAAACCAAGACACACATTCCAACAGTTCTACATACTTAATCTCCAAACCAAGACACACATTCCAACAGTTCTACACACTTAATCTCCAAACCAAGACACACATTCCAACAGTTGTACATACTTAATCTCCAAACCAAGACACACATTCCAACAGTTGTACATACTTAATCTCCAAACCTAGACACACATTCCAACAGTTCTACACACTTAATCTCCAAACCAAGACACTCATTCCAACAGTTCTACACACTTAATCTCCAAACCAAGACACACATTCCAACAGTTGTACATACTTAATCCCCAAACCAAGACACACATTCCAACAGTTCTACACACTTAATCTCCAAACCAAGACACACATTCCAATAGTTGTACTTACTTAATCCCCAAACCAAGACACACATTCCAACAGTTGTACATACTTAATCTCCAAACCAAGACACACATTCCAACAGTTCTACATACTTAATCTCCAAACCAAGACACACATTCCAACAGTTATCCATACTAAATCTCCAAACCAAGACACACATTCCAACAGTTATCCATACTTAATCTCCAAACCAAGACACACATTCCAACAGTTATCCATACTTAATCTCCAAACCAAGACACACATTCATTGTACATATCATATTACATTCATTTTCCCCTTGAAAAACAGATTTGTGGGAATGGGGCTGAAAATTTGACAGAATGTTTTATCACCGGCAACGATTCTATGTGCCAAGTTTCAGTTCGATAGGATGACGGGAAGTGGGTCAATTAGCCGTTCGAAGATGTTGCCCTAAACACAGAAACACATGAACAAAAGCGAAGTTAATATGATATTGATGTATGTGATTTTCAAATGCCTAACATACTGGTATACATATAGTGGCCTAGCAAGACATTATGCCTTGGTGGACTTGGGTTTGACCCCCATCCCCCGAAGATGTAAGTTGCTTTTAGGCAAGTGAAACCTGGAAATGACGAATCTTCAAATAGCACTGTCCCTGGCATATGCGCTAATTCACCCAGGAGCGTAATAATTTTATAACACCAGCTGAACTTGCAAATAGCAGCACTTTTTCTTCAGTCCCAAGAGTATTGTGAGCTCTATCCAGTTTTCATTGCTTTATAGAAATGTCTCGGTAAGTTACTTTGATCGGGGTTGGGAGAGGAGAGAAAAAAATCAGAGGCGCCAAAGGCTCCCGAGCCAAAGTGAGGACAGGGTTCTGGGGAGGGGACCATGGGCGCCCGCAGGGGGTGGCAAGGGGGGCACTTGCCCCCCCCCCCCCCAATTGATTGGATAAAATTTTTTTAGACAAAATAGACACAAAATGTATTAAAGTAAAGAGAAAATAAAGAGAAAGTAACTAAGCTGATGTCCTGTCCGTTCGTTCACCATACAAATACGCTACAGTAAATTAAAACTATATTAAAACATTACTAAAAAAAAATTTGCCCCCCCCCCCCGAAAGTTAATCGATTTTTTTTGCCCCCCCCCTGGAGAGTTTTCTGCGGGCGCCCATGGAGTGGACCTTGATAAATTCAAACGGATTCCTTTAAAGGCGAACGAGTCTGTATCAATCTATAATTAACCGACTGATAAACAGAGAAATGCTGTGAGATTTAAGTTTAAGTGACCCTGTCAAGTTTATACAAATCTTTTAGTTTTAATTTTCACTAAACTCTATTGTTTTAAAATATTTACTTAAACTATTTAATTTGCTCCTCATTAGTAAATGAGTCTTTAACTTTGAAAAGTTTCAAATGCGAGACACCGGCTCTTACCGTCAGGAAATGGCCTTTACACACTGCTGCCAGGGCTCGACGAATGATAGGCGAGTTGAGTTTTATTATAGGATCGGGGTCGAATGGCTATTTAGCTAAAGCAGCGGTTTGTCCATTATGGCTTCTTATGTTAAAATATTTTAAAATTGCAAACATTAAAGAGATATTTGATTCCACGTTTGATTTTGTCTTCTTTATTATTGTCGTCGTGGTTAATGTTCAATATTTTAGTCCACGGGGCTCAATGAGCCCAGCCCTAATACAATCAGTGATCACTGTATATGGACAATGCTATCTGTCTCTATATTGATTACACCCTGAACCTCTTATTGCGACCATGCATCGTACCCAGGAAAAATTCGATTTTACATGATAATTTTCAAAGTCATAATCGCAGTGAAGCCATGTTTTGGGCAAAAAAATCTCGAGGGGCGGCATAAAATAAACTCATAAAATTATAATTTAAATATTAAAGGGATTTATTGAACTAACTATAATTACGACTATATTATATGGATAAAATGACTATGGCTACATTTTAAAATATTTAAAGTTTACCTTTATTTTAAATGGCTGCTTCTCCCGGTCCTCTGTATTTCTCTTACTCTAACCATTTCCCCACTTGAATGACCTCAGCATCATTACTCCTTTACCTCACTCTAACCATTTCCCTACTCGAATGACCTCAGCATCATTACTCCTTTACCTCACTCTGACCATTTCCCCACTCGAATGACCTCAGCATCATTACTCCTTTACCTCACTCTAACCATTTCCCCACTTGAATGACCTCAGCATCATTACTCCTTTACCTCACCATATGCCCACTCGAATGACCTCAGCACCATTACTCCTTTACCCCACTCTGACCATATGCCCACTCGAATGACCTCAGCATTATTACTCCTTTACCTCACTCTGACCATATGCCCACTCGAATGACCTCAGCACCATTACTCCTTTACCTCACTCTGACCATATGCCCACTCGAATGACCTCAGCACCATTACTCCTTTACCTCACTCTGACCATATGCCCACTCGAATGACCTCAGCACCATTACTCCTTTACCTCAGTCTGACCATATGCCCACTCGAATGACCTCACTACAATGCCCCAGCCCCAGTATTCCCACACATTTCACAAATTAACAATAAGTTGAAAGACAAGCCAGTGTTTTTAAAGAGACCATTTATTACAACAGATCTTTATACACAAATGGACTTTTCAAAACCATACAAGCTTTGGTCAAACATTTTTTCCCTTCTTAAAACCATGCATGATTTGCTTAAAACATTTTTCCCTTTAGTCTTTTAATTTCATATGACAAGCATGTAAATGTTACGGTCATCAAGATAACCTGTGAAGGCACACTCACACATACACCCATTTACACCAGAAGTGTTCATCTGATTGGTGAGGCATTTTGTACAAATGTACATATACAGAAACTGCTGGTAAAATTCCAGGCAAATTGAAAAAAAAAAAAAAAAATTTAGAATTTTGGCAGTTTTCAATAAATACTTTTAAACAACTCTGTCCTCCAAATTAGTGACCCCCCTTGATTTCCATTTATGACATGAATTCCAAACTGACAAATTAGTATTGATGGTTTTAACATAACACATTAAAAATCTCACTAATTTGAGCATCCTACTAACTGTAATTCTGTTCAAGAAATGTGAAACATACATTTCAACTAATCCTACACTAATAACTTTCTACTGTTGGGGTGTGTATCAAGAGAAACATGATATAGTTCAGCTGAGGTCAGTCAAAATCTCATGACCTTTAGACATCAGGAATACTCTGAAAAATGCATTCTAACCATCTCCAAGACTTCTTCACCTGATATCCATTAAAATCTTTTTTTTCTTTAAAAGCTCCTAAGCCATTTTTAATGCCCAGAATCCCGAGCTGTTATGATAACTAAGCAAGAGGGTGAAAACTATGGAATCTAAACAGAAGATTATAATATAAGTTATAATGTCAATATTTTCACTTGTTTTAAATCTTAACATAAGGCATGTACAAAATAAGACTGAAAAATGTTAGATTAAGTTTGCTGATTTGCTGGCATATAATTATTATAATGTGAGGTAAAATGAATTACATTTCCTGCTTTCTGACAGGGCCAATTTTCTGTTGCAAAATAGCCATTTGAAGCTAAATTTTTTTTTTTTTGGTTCGTTAAATAGGTACTTTACAATTCTTTAGAATTTCCATCCCTGGGAAATATACCAATTACAATGTTGTCAAACATTTTGTAGCACAACATTTGACTTGACTACTTACCGTCATACAAGGTGACAATTTAAACAGAGTTCAATTATTCTAAATGAAATTTAACTCCTGACATGCACAAATTAACTGATATTTTGCACAAACATCAATTTATTTATCAAGAGATATTCAATCGTCATTGCCAAATTCTAACATCCCTCTCTGTGTCGGGTGTGTGTGTGCGTGTGTTATATTACTATTAACTCAGGCATTAACATTGACTTGAGTGTCTCTGCATTCAAACCGAGCATTTGATATATGTTGATGGTTACATTAAAGCCCAGAATTGTATATACCCCTATACATTTCTGACATTGTACAATTCTATTCTATTTCTAAGCAATAGGCAAATCAATGGTATTTTTCAAGACCTTAAAACTATGACTGAACTCTGACAGCATTCATATGTACACAGTTATAGGTAACCCTCAATGAAATTTAGTTACGGGCTAGGGGAGGGAGGACAGCGCAGAAGAGGAGAGAACAAAAATAGATCGGTTATTCTAATACTATTGATACACTTATTTATATCACATGTCAAATTCTACAAAGGTGGTTTATCTTCCAGGTAGTGGATGTGTCAGCACAGGGGTAAGAAGGTAATAAATCACTCCCATATGCACCTAGTTAACAGTTTCAACAAAATCATTCAATTAATATTGAGGAAAACTAAAATGTTGTCTCGCTCGTAGAACATTTTTGAAACACACATTAGCAGTTACCTGATAAGCCTGCCAAATAAATCTGACACATTAGCACAGTTACCTGGGAAGCTTTCCAAATAAATCAGATACCAGCAGTTGTTTTTATACAGATTTAAAAAAGAAAACAAAAAAACAGAGGCAATAAATGTTCCATTGAGCCCTACAAATATAGGGCTCATGTTTTGTCATTTTCTTTCATTTATTGCTGATGGTGGTGGCTCAAGATTTTGGAAGTAATTCATTTCTATGTTCATAAACTTTCAAAAGAAGAAATTGAAGGTTGATCAGAAGAAAATAAAATCTTGGTGGTGAACGAGTCAAAGAAAAACACTAAAATGTACACTGACCCTAACTGCCCCATGATTTCAGGCGCTTCATTTAGTTCAAATTATTCTTAGCCGCTGACAAACCATCCAGTGAAAATATAAAAAGACAGAAACAATTTGCTAGTAAAAATTAATTTTCAAACGAAACGTGTTTCTCCACACAGACAATATTTTTGCACCTAATAAGACAAAAACAGTATTCTTTGGGAGAAAAAATAACAACCTCCCAATTTTGAAATATAAGAAAATGTTTTAAAAATTATTTGACAAGAATGAGGTTTAATCTCACTAGACATGATGAATTAATCGGTTTATATTAAAATACACAGAATTTAATGGAAATGAAACCTTAAAACTGGTTTACTCAAAACATGAGTTTTTATTTTTGCTCATAAGAGATCGAGGAGCAAAGACCAGAAATCAAGACATCTTGTGTCAATTACGTGAAATTTAATTTGCTTTATTTACAGCTAAAAATACTTTCAGCAGAATTTGATGGTAAGTAAAGAGACGAACATTTACTTACAGCCTCTAAATAGTATTGTAAGTGGTAGTATGAAACAATCTCCTGATGCTGCCAAAAACACACAAACTATAGTCAATTTTTTTAAAACTCTTAACTCTAAATAACTGTTCACATTACAAAATCAAGTATGCAACCTCCAATATTTCTTTAACAAAAAAAAAGTTGATAAAAGTTTTCAACATGAGTTTTCAGATACATTTAATTCCTCATTAACAATTAGTTTATTTGTACATCTATCACCACATAAAAAACTCCAAATGCTTTAGCCCCATTTCAATACAATGGCTGTCAAGCCTACTTTTTACTTAAACATTTTTTGTAAAGGAGTGAATTCTTGAATTTATGTTACAAATTAGGGTAAAGATATATATATATATATATGACTGACTGGAAATCTTGTGTTATTTTCAAATAACTGCCATAGACAATGTGCCTTTTAAAAATAAAAACTTTAACAGTAACTACCAATATTTGACTACTGTGTTACAAATATTTAGTTTCAGTGGCACTGTTGAAAAGTTACAAATGTTTTAAGCTAAATTTATTTTAAAAAGATTAACACTCAAGAAAATTTTACATGTTTCTACATTAAATCAAAATATAATTTCAAACATATCCCTTTGGTTTCTTTATTTGAATTTTCTCAAAGAGTCTAAATGTAAAAATAAAAATATAGAGCATAATGCAGATAATATTGCATTCATGTGGGACATCTTAGCATGAATCATTTGCTCCCAGTCAGAAATTTTTATCTCCCATAGACTGGTTTGTTGGTAGTTTTGTTATAATTTTTAATGAATATAAAATCATAAAAGTTTAAAAATAATGCAGAGATTTTGATATAGGATTATACAAGAACCTCCATTTGCAGAACTCCGCATCACCTGAGTGCAGCATTCCTCTAATTATAAAACAATAAATAGCCCTTTGTGGTCTAAACAGATATTTGGAGAATTTCCTTGGTACAGAATGTAAACCTTTTCCATTACATGACCAACAAAACTGAGATCACTGGATGTACTTAAATTAAATTTACATAAGAAACTATAATTACTGGTCTTAAAGAGATGACGGAATAACGTTAACAGAAAGAAAGAAAAAGTTATTTTTAAACTTCAAAGAACAGAGCGCAGCACTATTTATTCAAATTTCGTACTACCAATAAGGAGAAATATGAGACAACACACCCTTAAGCAATAACTAACATATATTATGAATAAATTGATCCCTGAATTTAATTGACATGGAGAAGAGCCTTCTTATGTTATTGATAAATCAACTCTGTACAGACCTCAAGTATTTTCTTAAAATTTAATAATTCTATGAAAAATTTGGTGCTTATTTCTGTGACCTGGTTTACTCAAGAAAACAATTATTGGAATTCTGGATTTACAAAAAAAAAAAATGTAATGGTATATCATCAATAAACTTGGTTGGTTATAACTATGTTAACAAACAAATAACCAAATGGGTGTTGATGTGTTACATGAAATAAAATAAAAAGGCAGTAAGGAGAATGCAGTACTTCACAATTGCCAACAAAGAAATTTAAACTCAAGCCAAGATCTCTATGGATGGGAACTTAAGATGGTTTGTAAAAACTGACTGGAAAAAAATGGAACACGCTGATTTTCTATAATGTCACTTCCATCAGGTGGATGTCATAGTAACAGACATCACAAAGTGTTTTAGAAAGTTTGTGTGAGAAACTGACGATGAGGAGGACTTAAGTTTTGTCAATGTTACGTTCCTACTCTTGGTCGTTTTGGAGATGGTGCTATCACATCCTCTTCTTCTTCCTCTTCCTCCTCTTCTGAATCTTCATCAGGGTAATCCACTAGACCTTTAAGGCCCGGCTAAGAAAGAGAAAAAACACACACAATAAGCTATTAAAAACTTAAAATTTAATTGATAAATAATTTAATTAATAACTACTGTGAAGATAATTCAGAAAGGTCTATTTTTGTGCATTTACAAACGTAAAAAAAAGTGTTAATTTAGAAAAGTAGATCAATCACAAAACTCAAGCAGTTTTGAGAAATAAGCATGAGTACCAGAAAAATAATTGCTCAGAAATAAATTTTGCACAGATTTAGCATATTAAATATTATAGAGAAATGAAAATCATACTTACTGTTTTAGTAGTTACTGCAATGGTAGAAGGCGGACTGTCAGAGACACGAGATGTGGTGATGCTGGCAGAAGAGGTGGTTATCGAGGTTGCTACAGTACTATTGATGGTGCCAGAAGATCCTTTACTGGCTTGAACATTGTTTGGAGACACATGGGGCGTTGGGCAGAGCCTGTTGGGTGAGTGTGGTGATGTTGGTGGACTGCTGGGTGACTCTGGTGATCCTGGTGCAGGTGGTGATCCACCTGGAGAACCTGGACTATCTGGCATGCTCAGTAACGAAGAAAGGGAAGAATTGCTGCCAGTCTTGATACTGATGTTGATTGCTGATTTTGAACCACTGAGCAGTCGTGGTGGAGAATCCCCTACATCGGATTGATTTTCTTTGGCTGTGGGATGATAAAAGGGCTTAGCTGATTTTTTTGGAGGAGTTGAGTTCTGGTCAGCTCAGGTAATTGTGATGAAAAATCATAGAAGAATGCAATTTAAAAGCTCAAATATATTCCTTTAAATAGTTTTCTTCATCACAAACTTAAAATTTTCCACTCATAAAATACAATCCCACAGTAAAAAAATAATTTATAATCTATAAAAAAAATTAGAGAAACAAAGTTACCCTTAATTATAAAAACTTTTTAATATACGACAAATATTTATCTACAAGATAGTAATGTCCATTAAACCCCAGGACACCTCCTATGACTTAAGTTTATTTAAATAAGAATCAACATTGCATATAAATGGGAAATGAATAATTTTAAGCACATAATTTAAGCATCTCTGGATTCTCAGCATTGATCTTTCATTGACACAGAACATGTAATTCACTGAATTATAACAATAATAGAGAAGTAATTTTAAAAACACATTTTTTAAATAATTATTTTTTAAATAATAGTTAAGAGAAAAATGTTAATACAATTAGTGAGCAAGAATTTTCAGTCATAGAACTGAAGAAACAATCAAGCTGAACACTTCAGTGTTATAAAGATTATTTTAACAGGTGTTAAAATAAAGAATCATACGCAGAAAGTGTGATTTTGGCAAGCCATATTTTCTGGAACATTTGAGAGCACCCAGTACTCCACCAAAATGCAATCTGACTGCAGAAGATGTCCTTGCATTATTTGCTGAAATTCAATTATTTGATATTTACAAACTATAAGGACTTAGTATTGATGGACTCAGTTCCTGAGCTCAAACTTCCTTCTGTGCTATTGTAATAATATAGTTGGGATAGGACTTATTATGATAAATAATATTAACAAACCTTACATAAAAAATATCCACTATGTGAAAAATTTTAATTGACTTTTTTTGTTGTTTTATTTTTTTTTGCTAAGCCAGCACAATAAAATGAAAGAAACAAAATGGTCATGGCCAATTAAAAAATTCCCACCAACTGTTTACTTACTTTTTTTGTTCTCCCATAGTTTATGTATATGATCAAGATCAGATTCAATTTTGTTCTTAAGAAGTTCTGATACTTGGGGTGCATTATCATTCTCTTCATTTTCATCATCCTGGCTGAACCACATCTCTTCATCTTCATCTGGTGCCCGAGCATCTCTGCGAAATCTGTTATTGCGAACTATGGATGCTGCATGGCTGTGAGCAAATATTTAGCAAAATTAAGATATGTTGAGTGACTTCAGCAAAATCTGTGGGATAGTTCACAAACTTATTTATGTCAACTACAAATTATATTAATTTTTGTTCAAGTAGAATGACTTGGAGCAGTGGTCTCAAACTCGCGGGCAATTTGCAGCCCGCAATACCATATTTTGAAGCCCGTTACATGACAGCAAAGTTTAGTTTTAATGCGGCCTGCGCGTTTTCCCCATTCTCATATCTATAATGTGACCCTCCCCCACGGTTTCAGTCAAATCTCACAGACCGGTCTAATTCTGTTTTTTTAATGTTTGTATAGATTTGGATGTTGATTATAATGTAAAAAAAAACGTTTTAATATCGGACTAAAAGTTTTTATTTTATAGCCTTTCATTTTATGAGACAAACAGGGCCAAAGTGCGTTTTGAGAAAAGTTTAAAAAAGTCAGTTAATAGGTAATGCCCAACCATAATTGTGTAAAGCGTAGCAATCTGACAAAGTATCTAAGAATCCCTATTTAAATTGCCTCTAGTGTTTACGAGTGATGGAAATTCTGAGCCTTTCAGCTTGGTCAAATTTCAAAATAGGGTTAGTAAAAAAGGCCTTTTCTGCAATAAAAAATCAAAATTCATTCTCCCAACAATAGAAATCTTCCTTCGCACCAATAATTCATGAATATTGCCTGCTTAAGCGTACTGTTTAAAAACATTTTGGCATTTAGAGTCTTCATGGAGAAGGATGGGGTTGTTGTTTCTGTACTAAGGGATCCCAAATTGCCCATGAACTTGGCTTTTCTTGTTGTCATTACACAGGAGCTGAATTTACTCAACAAGAAGTTACAAGACCAGGGGTAGCTAGTAAGTGTTGCATATGACAATATCAGGGCATTCTGCACACAACGTGTTATGGTTCTTAAAGAAACCTCTGCCATTTCCCAACATGCAAAGTACTCATGGACTCAGGCGCATGATTCAGTAGTAAGTAAACTGTTGCCATTGCAAAGATACAGGAAGAATTTATGACATGTTTTTAGACTTCAAAACACACAGAGACACTTTTCAAATTTTTACTGACCCTTACTCCTTTAATGTTGAAGATGCTCCCATCCCTGCGGATGGAGCTGATTGATCTTCAATGCAATTCGAAGTTCAGGAGGTGAATGAAAAAACAGACAAGCATGGGCAATTTATGAGAGCATTGCCCTACCTCTTTTCCATTATGAACTTAAACAAGTCAAAGTTCAGGGCCAAACTTAATGAGTATCTTCAAGCAGTACTGTTGCTCAGCTGTTATAGAAGAAGAGCTGCAAGATCTCTGGCAACAAGGAGTAGGAGAAAGTGAAGCCAAGTTCTTGAGACCACTTAATGTTTTTAATTGTTATTAATAAAGGTTGAGCAGATTGTAACAGTTGTACTTTATTGAATTTGTGCGCTTTTTTTTGGGTAATACTTGATGCGGCCCAGACCCAATCAGACTCTACCTCCTGCGCCCCCCCCCCCCCCCGATGCTTTGAGTTTGAGACCCCTGACTTGGAGGATTCCATAAATGTTTTGCATCATAAATAATCTAGATACCACAAATATGCAATGCTATTAAAAAATCAAAGAAAAATTAGGTTTTCTAAATAAAAAAATTATATTAAAATAAGAAAATGAAAAATGTGTAAGAAATATGGTCAACTCTAAACTAGCATCCAGGTGTGTCAACACCAGGCCAATCAAACCAAGGACATTCCATTCTAAATAAAAAAAATATTAAACTGGTTCATGTTTACTAAAAATTGAAAAAAAAACCACCACATTTTAAGTTATTAGCTTACATTAATATTCGCAAATACTGATCTAAAATATATATTTTTTAAATTGATTATCTATAACATATTGCTAGATACCTAATTTCTCATTGATAGGGACATACAATTAGCTAATATGAACTGAAGAAACAATCATAATTATTCTTTAAAGGATGACACCTTCAAATATGTCATAATTTAGTTGTAGTGGAAAATGAGAATGTAATGACTATGAAAGTATGTGCTGTGCAAACTATGATCCCATGTATATACTACCTTATCACAATGACTTTAAGGTAATAAATAATTGTTCCAAGTTCCTAACTTTTAGCCAAATAAGTAATTTCTATATATAAATATATATTTAGGTGGCTTTGTTGTTCAGTGCCTTTTATGCTAATGGTTAATAGAAGGTTTTGAGTGGGCATTTTAAAAAATAGTTTAAATTTAAATAGCTAAAGAGGTGAACAACTTAGAAATAATTCATATGCCCTTGATTTGAACCCAAAGAAGATGTATAATTTTTTTTTCCAAATAGATATTGATGGTTGGTCAAAACAAAATTATACTGTGAAATATTTTTTTTAAATGTTGGCTTTAGAATGAGTAAATGCATTGTCTTATTTATGAATGGTAACTAGCATTTTGCTTTCTCTGTTAAGTAAAAGCTTTTTGGAATTTCCATGAACATCTTTTAATGTCAAAGGGGTTGAGGAAGTAAAAATAAAACTTTTGTTAAATATTCTAAGTCAGTATGTTATTAGCCTTGTTACAATTGGTTCAAGGAAAATGTATAAATTAAAAGCATAAATGACCGTTAAAAGTCTTTAAAAAACGACAAAAAATTAACATGTGATAAATTAGATTACTCAAAGCAAATTCCAAGATGGCTGTGGAAATACCACAAAATTGTTAAGATGAAGTAATATCATCTGGTTGAACAGTCTATATAAGAAAAGCAGATCTTTATACTCTGATCAAATTGATAATTTGGAGTCTAAGACATAAGAATACTGAAAATTACATTATAGAACAGGCAGGCAAGCCAAACGGATAAAACTCAAAACTAAAAGTGCACAGCATATCAGTAACTTGGCAAACTACCAAAAATGACTTTAAAATGAAATGAGAAAATCTATCAGATCTGACAATGTAACAGTTTCCTACCACAAGCTGCTTTGTACTCGTGGTTAAAAAGTGAGTTGTGCAATGCTTATAACAGTAAATAGATAAATCAGAGTTAAATGAGAATTTAAAAATCCCGCTGCTTTCAAAGAAAATATAAAATCTTTATTAAAAACATTGGCAGATCTGAGCAAACATAGGTGAAACATATACCGGTCACTATCTTCATCATCATCATCTTCAATTTCTGGCAACACCTGAAAATCGGACCACTTTCTTTTTCCAGATTTTTTCAGTTTAATAGGTGTAACTTTTTTTAGTGGGCTATTAGAAAAAGCAAATTAAAAAAATGTTACAACTTACACTATGCCTTGTGATGATGTAAAGCTTAAAAACAAACATTGAACAACATCGAGACGATGAAAATACTACCAGTTGAAATTTACCAGATTTAAGAAAAGTAACTTGAAGAGAGTTGGACAAAATTCTGACAAAAACACATTAAAATATTTAAAATGGCTAAAATACTTATAGAAAAAAAAAACTATCCTTACCTATCAAAAGAGTGTTTTTCTCTGTTCCTGTCTCTCTGTTGCTCATAGCGAACTTTCAGTGTTTCAAAGGTTTTAACATATTTGATTCCTTCTAAATCTTTTTGAAATGTCTCAACTATGTATACACTCAAAGATTTAATGTCCTCCTTCAAAATGGAAATAATAAATAACATATTTACACAAATTATTTTTAATGCTGAGAAATATCTAAATATAACAAAATATTTAAATATCATAAATCATAACGTATTCAAATAAATAAATGTAGAAAAACACACCACTTTGATGAATTCAAACAGCTCAATCATAGCAGAATTGATGAGGTTATATCTGTCCCCATTGGCGAGGAAAGCATCCACAATTGGTCTGAAGAGATTTTCCTTGATTATATATCGATTATAGAACTCTTCTTTTAACCCAACAATCTTCCGACAAAACCTTAAGGCACCTGCAAAACATTAAAAAAATTTAAATGAAAGAACTGACAAGTCAATGTTGAAATTATTCACAATTTAATTCTGAAGTGAAACATTTAAATTTTTTGCCATTATCTAGTAAGATTAACACAAAAAATTTCAATTAGCATAGATGTCCTCAATCTTTTTTAATTTTTGCCTAGCACACATAGAGGAATGATATGAATTTATATCTGTTTTTTTCTCAGATCAGGACATTTTTCTTAAAATCCAATTTTTCACAATTACTTTTTAGAAAAAATAAACAAGTCAGAATAACAAAGCAAACATCTAAGGATTTCTTAAAAATAATAATAATAATAATAATAAAGTTCATTTCAAAAACACGCTTCATCCCCAAAGGCTCGAAGCGCGGTACAAAGTCAACAAAAAACAAATCTATAATTTACCACATTTAAAACAAACGCAACACTACAAAAACGAATTACAAGCATACAATGGCAAAGTCTTTCTAGCCATGTCAATGACAACCATACGCAACACAGCCATTATGCATTAACTGGAAAATAAGGTTGACAATCATCCCAGAAGGTGTTTGCGAAATAGATGTGTCTTTAAATCGGTTTTAAAGGACTCCAGTGTCTGGTTGTTTCTGAGATCGACAGGAAGGGCGTTCCAAATTGTTGGACCAGCAAATGCGAAAGTGTGCTTTCCGTAAGTCTCAAGGCAAACACGTGGTGTCGAGAGTTGGCCACTATCGGATGAGCGGAGCTCTCTATTGGGTACATAAGGCGTCAGCAGCTCTTTCAGATAGGACGGCGCCAGGTCATGTAAGCAGCGGTAGCACAAAGTTGCGATTTTGTACTCTATGCGAGCAAGCACCGGCAGCCAGTGCAACTCTCTCAGAAGTGTTTTTGCATGGTCGAACTTGCGTTTGCGGAGAACAATGCGAGCTGCATTATTCTGTGCTATTTGAATTTTATCCAGGAGCGTAGCTGGAAGACCCACCAAGAGAGCATTGCAATAGTCCATGCGTGATAGCACAAATGCAGACATCAGCCTCTTTGTTGCATCAATTGTTAGGAAGGGCCCGATGTGACTAATCCTGCGCAGCTCCAGAAAAATCGCCTTGCATAGTTAGTCTTCTATCTTAGGTAGACACCCAGGTACCGCATTGTTTGAGCTAACTCAATACGCACACCTGAGAGAGTAATGGATGTCGTGTTATTTGCAGATTTTTGCTTCTGAGCGGTCGCGATGGGGAGCAGCTCAGTCTTATCATCATTAAATTTGAGCTTGTTTATGGTCATCCAGTGCTTAACCGACTCCATTGTCTTCTGTGTCATACTGAGCAGCTGAGGGAACTGAGAAGGGATCACGGATTGATGAAGCTGTGTATTGTCCGCGTACATGTGATACAACATGTCAAACTGCCTGATCTCTGCACCCAGGGGCTGAATGTACATCGTGAAAAGCACCGGGCCTAGGACCGAGCCCTGGGTTACTCCGAATTCGATATTAGATTTCTTCGAGGTCAAGCTGTTTGAAATAACTAACTGAACCCGATTAGTCAGATACGATCGGAACTAACACAGGACGGTATCAGTGAGACCGAACGTTTGTTGCAGACGCTGGAGCAGTATGGATATGAGAAATGAGGTGCGATGTTGCATCCTCATGCCGATGATTCTATGTTCACAGCAATGGAGGAAGCTGTTCCTTAGCAACCATTTCGTCCCAGCTGCTTCGTAAATTAGTTGTGAAGTAGAAACTCACTGTAGAAATGCCTATTAGAGAGCGTCTGATGCTTCCCCGAGATGGGAGAGGGAGGGGAGATTCTAGGATGTAAATATACCATCCCGACTCCTGGGAAAGTTGACTGCTGGCGCTGTGAGAGCAGCATCACTGGCTACCAGATGTCCTTGAGCTGGGGTGGCCTCCATTGGTATTCCATCTAGTGGGTGTTGATGGGGGCTGTCCTGGCACAGAAAGATCTCCAATGTGTCGCTTTGTGGCCGGGGGGGGGGGGGGGGGGGGGGGTATAAAGAGCTTATGTATTACACTAGCTCAAAGGCTTGTTGACACCTTTTCCAAATGTGTATTTGTAGCTTTGTTTTCTTAAATACTTGTTTTATTTTTTTTTCCTAATTCTTATTTACCAAATTTCCTCACCATTTTGCAATGAGCTTGTTACAATTTTGATTAGGGGGCCTTGGGAAAACCTGGATTCAGCTAGGGCCCCAAGATTTTAAAAAGTTTGGGAACCTTTCTAGACTTTTTCACATTTAATTTGCTCACCTTAAAAATTTAAACCAACAGTCATTCTGTGATGTTGTAGTTTATTGTGATCAAAGTAAACATATTAACAAAACGTTTTCATATTTTCAGGCAAGGAAAGAGGCAACCGAGCTACTGAAGGAACTGGGAGTCAAAGTTTAGGGAGATACCTTCATTTTATTTCCTTTCACCGAATAAATTATTTTTCGATTCCTGTTAATGGGACCATTAGTGCTAGAAATTATTGTGTTGCGGCATTCGATCAGCAATGATCTCATTATAAGACGTTATAAATTTTTATTTTTTGGTTGTTCTTTCGTCAAGAGCGACATGCTACTAAGAATTTTTTTAATTAAATGAATAAGTTTAAGCTTAAGGGTAATCTTCACCATGATTTCCCCATCAGTTTTATACGTGTAAAGCAAGAGTCAATTTAAAGACATTCATGTTTCGCTCTGGAATCTTCATCATTCGATGATATGCCTTGTTTAAAAAGTTTTGTTTCAATAGTTTTTTTAAAGATAATTTATGTCATTTAAAACTACATAATTTATAATAAATTGAGCTGGTTGAAATAAACGTGATATTAGTAATATTGTGTTGCTTGTTTACAGATGTTGATTTTCAGTTGAAAAAAGACACCCAAAAAAAATAATGATTTAAATGAATGTTGTAAAAACTTAATTGGGCTTCTTTCATCATACAAAATAAGATTTGCCAATTTGCTTGCTGGTGAGAATCATTCTGCTTAACTGTCCATGAATGCATATCATAATTAAGTCTATGGATGAATGACTGGAACCACCTGTTCATAAGTTAGGATGTCATGCCGAGTGCATTCAAGCTGACAAGATTTATGAGTTTATTATAGTATTAAAAAGAAACAATTAAGCATTTACATGACATAATATCTATGCAATGAAATTATTGATTGCAATTCTGTTTAATATTAAATATGCCTTTAAACTTAAAGATGTGGATTGTGCAAATTTTGATAAAGATAATGTTTAATTTTCTTGTAATCCCAAGTTATTTAAAAATAATTTAAATGATTAAACTCCTGCATAAAAATTATTTCCATTTAACTGAGTGTTGTCCATTTTTTCTTAAATAATATTAAGCTATTGTTGGTTATTTGTGTTGTAACTTTGCTTTAGTTATTTATTCAATTAAGACTTTTTACTTGATGAGTATTTCAAGAGCAAATAAAAATAGAAGAATAATGAAATTAAATTATTTGTCTTTGAGATATGAAAATGGAGTTTGTAAAAATCAATACAATGTGGTAAAAATGACAACTAAAGGTTATCAAAAAAAAGTCATAAAATTGATTTTTTTCCTTTTACATATATAAAAGCTTTTAAAAATTCCAATTTATCCAGGAGGTTAAAACTGACTCAGCAGTTCTGCTTTTTATTTCAACTTACCATATATGATTTTAGCCTCAATCAAGCCAACTTTTTTACACTACAGAGGTGAGATGACAGCGCCCTCTGGTTATCAATAGCTTAGTGTTTTCCCTTCCTTTATAAGCCAAGACATTTAGTGTGCAGAACAAGTTTTTAGAGTGTAGATTTTATTATTATTATTAGGTGGTTTTATAAAGCGCGGTACCCCAGCCTAGGGCCCGGCTCACTGCTCAGTACCCCAGCCTAGGGCCCGGCTCACTGCTCAGTACCCCAGCCTAGGGCCCGGCTCACTGCTCAGTACCCCAGCCTAGGGCCCGGCTCACTGCTCAGTACCCCAGCCTAGGGCCCGGCTCGCTGTGCTTCACATAAAAATTGGCAATTACATAAACGTATACATTTAAAAACAACAATTGGTGAAAAGCGTGACCTCACCCACCCAAGTACTATGTACACATGTCTAGCCATGGACAGCACCCAGCAGAATTGAGCGTTTATCAGTCGGGGGGGGGGTGGGGGGTGAGAATGAGTCGGTATAGTACAGTTTGAAGAGATGGCTCTTGAGGGCAGTTTTGAAGGCCAAGATGGTCGTGTATTGGGATAGAACTTCCTTGTTTTGGGGTACAGAAAGATCATTCATCATGTTTTAGTGTGTGTGCTGAGAAATGAAAGAATATGCGTGTCTGCAGAGGAACGAAGCTTTCAAAGGGGTGAATAGACATTAAGAAGTTCAGTAAGATAGGAAGGGCAGGAACCAGAGAAAAAGTTGTGACAGAGAACAGACATCTTGTAATCAATACATGCCTGTATAGGAGACCAATGAAGTGAGTGAAGTAGTGGAGTGACATGATCACGTTTCTTTTCCTTTAGAACAACCTAGCAGCTGAGTTTTGAACTTTTTGCAGTTTTTCTATGAAATGTTTTGGTGAACCTGACAGAAGAGAGTTACAATAGTCAAGACGAGAGAGAACAAGAGCACAGAATAGTGTTTTTGTTGCGCCAACTGTGAGGTAGTGGCGGATGGAGCTGATCTGACGGATAGCAGTGTACGCAGAGTGACAGATGTGAGAAATATGATTATTGAGAGACATGTTGTCAGAAAGAATATAACCAAGATTCCTAGGAGAGGATGTGAACTCTATATCGAAGCTACCTACATGAAATGAGATGGGGAGAGCTGAGTTAGAGGATGATTCATGATTGTGAATAAGGATTGTTTCCACTTTGACATCATTTAGCTTCAACTTGCTGAGAGTCAACCATTACTTGACATCACCAATGCACTCCTGCAAGGTGTTGATAGCAGAATTGACAAGAGAGGGATGGGTATGCTTGTACAGCTGCATGTC